CATTGTCAAAATCCTTCAAAGAATAATATACTTTATTATTTTTACTAATTTCGTTCATTATTTAAGTGGAATAATTACAAGGGAGGTAAGCCAGAGTGTGACGCCTCCGACTTACCGGTGCTAACCACATATTATCTCAATTGTAGGTATCGACATTAGAGGTTAGCATATTGGGGCAAGACTGTAAATTATGCCGTTATCCAAAAGAATAAGATAACAAAAATCAGTCTTGCCATATTAGGTGGTGGGCCAAAGTTTAAAAAGCCCACCATATTGGCGGGTAATCCGTAATTAATGTCATTCTTGTAAAACAAGATTTAGAACAGATTACCCATATCCACTTAGGGGGATTGGCTACCCCCTCGACCTACGGAATTTTTTCGCAGTTCTTTTCGTAGTCTTAACGGCATTTTTTAGAAGCAGAATAAAAGAAAAAAGACTGCTTTCAGGGGCAGGAGTAAATAACATAAAAAAACCTCCTGCTGGTGTAAAATACTAACCCTTAACAATTTCAAATTCTCGGGCAATACAAGCCAAGCATAAATCTATATGTCCAATTTCTACATATTTCTCATTCTCGTCAACAAAGCCTGAAATTGCTGGACGATAGCAAAGCACTTTTCTTTTACTACTAGGGGAGCAATTAGAGCAGTATCCAATATGGAAATCTATTTTGATTTTTGACATATTTTAAAAACCTCGTGACTCAGGTCTCTCTAAGCCACGAGTAAACTATAAAATAATACCTTTTTCGAGTGAGGTCTCGTAATATGACTCGTAAATAATTAATCATCTATGGTGACCCATGTGTTTGTCATGGGCCAAATTGGAGGGAGGATAAACCCATTTCTGAAAACATTACCAAGACGACACTAGAGCTGAGGCTAATGCCGTAAATTAGACGCTGATGAGGCGTGGTAATAATATAAGGAATATCCTCCCATTTTGCCCGCTAGTAAAATTAATAAAAACTAGCGGGGAGCAACGGGCCACTCATGTCTGCCCTCACTGTCGCTTTTTAGGCCCGTTTTCGAGTATGGCCTGCGTAAATGCAAACTGTAAGAGTGAGCATTTTTAAGCGACGAACGACTAAACTCGGATAAGTTCATTATCATGAGTCATTTGCTGGGCAAAAGAATAATCATAAATGATTATATATTTATCTTTATTTACCACCTAGGATGGAGGGAACCAAAATAACAAAAAAACCCAAACTAAGCAAGTCCACGTCTTTTAAGTTCTGCTTCTCATCATTTTACTTTTTCCTCTAAAATTTCTTGCTTTTTTACTTTTTTATTCATAATTTTCTAAATTCCAATCCTGCACCTCCTCAGATTTCAAAGCAACTGTATGACAAAAATCATTTTTTATCAGTGCTTGTCAATATTCTTTTTTAATTTCTACTAAATAATAATCAACTAATCTTGGGTGTAGTTCTAATTTGTAATCTACTTGTTTTTGTTCCCGAAAACATAAACACAAAGATGGTTCAAGCCAAATTTCTAAACTTTCTGTGATTTGGTAACTTTTACCAGCCAATAAATTACAGGTTTGAACTTCTGTTCGTTCTAGAAATGGGTAAAAATTTTTGGGAGTTTTCGCAGTTGAGGGCAGATAAACCGAGTAAATATTGTCACGTTTTTGGATTATTAATTTAGACATGATAGTTTAATTGAGATTCTGA